TATAACTACTGCTACCTTCATTACGCAAATGATCAACCGGTTCAACCTGATTACTACTGCTACCTTCATTCCTACAACTAGCATCTTCTCCATGTTGATACCAAATATAATAATATGGCATGAAACCTCTATTTATTAAATGCTTCCAAACATTTTCACGAGGGCCTAATTTGGTATTGCAGCATTTCCGACAAGGACAAAACATCTTACCACTTTCCTGCGTGAGTGGTGTAGAATCTGCTTGATGCATAAACGTCTCCAACCCTTCCAGAAATTCTTTCGTCACCCTCCGTTATTATCTCTGTGTGAATACATCCACTGCCACAACTCGAAAATATTTTCCGGACCGGACATTTTTTTGTGTTTGATCAAGCTTATAGCTGATTTTTTTTTTGGTGAGTTTCAAATGAATCACATAAGGTGGTATTTATAGAAATTATCGAATCTGAGCATTTACTAGGAAATTGCTAGGAAAAGTAGGTACAAAACACGTTTTTTATTTAAATTCGATATTTTCTATCCAGTTCCTCCTAATTTCGTAGTAATTAAACCCGTTTCCTCCTAATTTCGTAGTAAACCTTTACTACGATTTTACGAGGAAAGGCAGTACTACGGCTTTACGAGGAACTGTACTTTTTCCTCGTAAACTCCTCGTAAAATTACTACGGTCTTATGAGGAACACGTTTTCTCGTAATTTTACGAGGATCTTACGAGGAAATTTGATTTCCTCGTAAACCCGAAGTAAGGGCTTAGTAATTTTACGAGGAACATTTTTCCTAATAAAATTTCCTAGTAAAGGCTTAGTTTTCTTGTAGTGCTGGATAGCTTCACCGTCAATCGATGGTAGGGAATTACTGTCGATCGATGTTTCAGGGTGAACGCTAGTCGTATTATGCTTCAATAATCAACTCCTTCTTTGTTTCCGGTAAGTTCTTATAAAGTCTCCAAAACGTCCCAAAACATCATTTTCTCAAGCAAGTACCTGAACCTGTAATTACTCTAAAAGACTCAAAATGCTTATAAAAGACTTCAAGAACCCATCTAAATCATGGTTGAAAGTGGGTTATGACATATCAATAAGCATGACACACCTTAAAATATCGGAACTGTTAATGCATGGCATCCTAACAGGCTGATATAAGTTATCATCGTCGTCGATGCACTTATCAAAAGAGCCGTAGTAAGATTCACGTAACCTAGCTCTCCGAACAATATCTTCTTCAACCTCTAGCTTAAGTATCATATCCTCGAACGTTCTCGGCGACCCTCCACCAAAAAGAGTGTTGCCAGGTTTGATATATGGTCTCACATCAGTGTTTTGATGTTGATTTAGTGTGGAAATCGAGCCGCCATCGCCACCACAAGAGCTCGCAAAGCCGCTACGTGAACTTCGTCCTCGCATTCTCAAGGCGAGAAATTGTTTCTTGAGGAAGAAGGAAGACAGATCTTTCATTGTTGTGTTTTGCATATTGCCTTAAAGGTAAAAAACTGATGGTTAATAACAAGAAGCCATGGTGTGTAATGGTGTGTGGCGTGAGTCGAATGAATTTGGGGGGTGGTGGGAGATAGTTTATTCAAGTATAGTTATGTTTTAACCAGGGCCATCTCTATTTGTTTGGTGGCCTAAAGCATACTAACAAAATGTCTCCTTATAATTTAAGTATCAAACTAGATTTTGACCCGCCCTAGCGCATAACTTTTTATGGCCAAAATTCATATAATTGGGTTTTATCTTTATTTAAAATATATTTTTAGTTTTTAAGTTTCTATTTTTGTTTTTAGTTTTTAAGTTTCTATTTTTGATTTTCAGTTTTTGGTTTGGACTTTTAGTTTTTAGATCCGCTGAGTTAGTTTGAACTGATATTACCAACAAACAAATCTCAAATAATCGAACATCTAATTAAAAACTGAAAATCATAATAACAAAAAATTGCAATAGTTTATTTTGGAAATAAACAAAAGCAAAAATATAACCTGCATTTTCAGCTTTGGTTTTGGATTTTAATTTTCAGATTTGGTTTTTAGTTTTGCTTTACATTTGTTTATTTTTAAATCAGTAAATTATTTAAGAAAAATAAAACAATAAATTATTTAAAAGTTACCATCTAAATTTATCAAAACAGAGTGATTGTTATTTAAAATAAAAATACATTAACATGTTTTAAAATACATGATTTAAATAAGTGATTAATAATAGACAATTTTGTTTTATTCAAAATATTAAATACCTTTGGGGCTGAAAATAGTAATTGGTTTTTTGATCCATTAAAGTGGAATGTTTATTCAATGTTTTTTTTTGGAGTTTTCCCTTAATACTAAACCCAAAAACCAAACCATATAATTTGTCCTAAAAACAAATGTAAGCCCAAGTTCTATCATATAAATAACTGTCGGTTTAATTTTATCATATAAATAACCGTCGTTTTAGCTTAAGTAATGCGGTTCAATCAACTATATGTCTTATATTAATCGTAACACTTTAGAAAGGGTCCAAATTTAAATGACAACTTGTATCAGTAGATAAAAAGAAGGATTCTATTTTAATAGAGTAGATGATTGTATAGTTTTCTAATAAACTACTTATTATAATACGAATGTATAATTTTAATATTGAAAATATATTTTTCAGTGACGAGCCACTATGTAACATGGAAATAATAAAAACATTGTTTTTATTTAATAGTGTTTTATAATAGTGATATTAGAAATGTTATAAAGCTACAAAAATCATCTAGTGATTGCTTAATTTCATTTATTTGAGATTCGTTCTTGGATCTAGCTTCTCGTTCTCTATCTCTGATTTCGTAAGATTTACCCATAGCTATGTTTGTAATCAAATAATTTGCTTCTGCAGGGGTCCTGGAGCTAAAATTACCATTACTCGCATTATCTAGCGTGATCTGGTAATTCAACTCGAGACCTCCGTAAAAGAATTTAAGAAGCTCTGGTTCCGAATAACCATGGTGGGTACAATCTCGCTGGTGATCCTTAAATCTATTCCAAGCGTTTCTAAATGTTTCTCGTGGGCCTTGAAGGAACGTGGAGAGTTTATGTCTCACGTCCCAATATCGAGTCTCATTGAAAAATTTGTTAATGAAAGCAGTGCGAATATCTTTCCAGCAGGTTAGGGATCCTGCTGGTATTTGTTTCAACCAATTTCTGGCTTCCCTCCCCAAGGAAAAAGGAAAAACTTTACAACGATTACTATCGTTGAGTGCTAATCCTTCCAGATAGTCCATGTGCTCATGAGGGTGGTCTGAGAAAGATCCACAGAAAAGGTTCTTTTGTACTAGATGGATGTAGTCAAAATGAAGTGTGGACTTATTTGCTTCATCCTCTGGTAGCTTGATAGCTGACCTATTGGAATAGGTCTTAATGGGATCTAAGTAATCTTGCAATTGTTCTGCATCTTCAGTTGAAGATGGATGGTTTTTGCCAGAGATTTCAGTCCCCTGTTTAACTGTAATTTCATTGGTTTCATTGCATAACTGACCTACTGGTTTGTTTAGGACTACTTCCTCATTAACTAAATCGGTAAGTAAAGACTTACCTGCTTCCGGATCAGTTATATCGATCGATGTGGGTTGGACTATGTCGATCGATTCCTCGGTCAACATATTGCTCGATGTGTGCGTCACGTCATCGGTAGATGTTTGGCCGAAATCTGTCTTTTGCATCTTGGGTTCCCTGTGTAATCAGAGAAAGAAGAAAAACAATTAAGTAAACAATAAATAAAAATCTAGACTGTATTCTAAACTAGATCTGATGGTAATAAGAAAGAGTCCCCGGCAACGGCGCTTAATTTGATATCACTCAAATGTTTAACCCTAAGGAGTGAATTACTCTCTCAAATAAGAGGTTCAATCGTAGTACTTAGGGATCGAATCCACAAGGACTCTAGAATTACACAGCAGATTATTAAGTCTTCGAAATAAAGCTAGACAATCAGTTTTAAACAATAACTTTAAATGATAAGCAAGTATATGCTTAAGTGATTGATAGGTTTGTTAAGAGGAAAGAAGGTAGTTAAACTTAGGTATTTTCTCAGGTATGACATGCATGCAAGTTGTAAAGGATTTTTATTATTCATAGTTCTAGATTTAAACTCTTAAGGAATTTAAGGATTAACTCTACTGGATTTTGGGTTAGAACTATCGTTCGATAACTTGAAGGGAATATCGATCGATGCTTCTGTCGAAACTATCGATCGATGCTAATGCCGCTATATCGGTCGACACGACTATCGTCTCGTCGAGCGATATCGCATCCAGCGAGTTGTAAAGGTGTGTTTAAATGGATTATCTGGTTTTCATTAAATTAACTTAGATTTAGGGTATTTGCCAAGCTATCGCTTGCCCAATTGATCCTAAAATCAGAGGTAAGGATGATGAATCCTTAACCTTAGCATTCATTGATAACTAGATTGAGAACTATATTTTAAACACCCTAATAATGGTTCAATTCAATGCATGAGTCAACCTTAATGAGAATCCTAAATCTAACAAGAGAGACTACTCAAACATATTCATGAGAGACAAAATCGTGATGGTCTGAATAATGCTTTAAGATAATAATAAAAAGAAACAATAAGTAAAAAGGGAGTTCAAGATCTTCTCTGGAATTGTAGTTCAGATCTCTCTATCCATCAAAATCTTCTCAAAGTGTAGCTAGATGCTTCTCCTAATTAGGTCTAAAAGGTCTCCAAAATTGTCTACCTAAACTAGTACAAAACCCTCTTAATATAGCCTAACAGACGGCCAGGGTAAATTATTAAAACTCTTGTGAAGCAATTAGGGCTTCTAATCTTCATTTAATCGCTTGGATAACTTATCTATCGATCGATGTAAAATGTCATCTATCGGTCGATTGCTCTCAATGTGTATCGGTCGATAGCTTAAACATCGTTTTGCTCATATCTTTATAAGTCTCCATTTTAGCTCCAAAATGCATGTTTTACACCAGTGAGTACCTGAACCTGTAAAAGCTCTAAAAAGACACTAAAAGTATCCTTTTGTTTCCAAAAACATATATAAATCATGGCTGAAAATGGGTAAAATCCATGATATATCAACTCCCCCAGACTTATCCTTTTGCTTGTCCTCAAGCAAATAATAGAACATTGGTCTAGAAAAGGGTTGAAAGGCGGAAGCTGTTACAATTCCTGACTTAGAACCATCAACTCTCTACTTATGGCAAGCCACATCAGATATCTACCAATTTTCCAGAAATACAATACACAATATCCTAGCTTAGCAACCAAATTCAACTAGCCAACAACTTAATGATCATGTTTGTCTATCCCCTCTGCCTATCTCATTTATGCATAAAATAAAGGTGTAGGCTTTACCTTGAGAGTATCGATCAAGGAACACTTGGGTTCAACTCAAACAAGTTTCAGGCATTCTCATCCTGGTTCCCTTTCTCTCTTCATCCCCCTTCTCTGAATCCAAATATTTCTCTTTCTTATATCAATCCCAGTGAACAACGAATGTTCATCTTATTGATCTTTCTACACGTGACAAAGTGTAAGCGAATAGTGGGGTCGTAGGTAATGTACCTCTCCCTCGCTTTGATCATTCCTTTGATTTAGAATAGTGGGGTCATAGGTAATGTACCTCTCCCTCTGCCTCTCAGGAAATCATCTCAGTCTTTTTCTCTTTGTGGGATGCCGAAGGGAAGAGAGAAGGAAACCAAATTTTTTGAGACTTTTACCTTCCAAACTTGCAGGAGGATTCCGATCCCTTGTATACCAAGCCGCAACACAAGCAGTAGATGTCAGGTTAGGTTGGAAATCGGCTTTGGTTCTTCCATACATTTTCAACAAGTGTTATCATAGCTAACATGTGATCCGCTTTAGTGCCTCTACTACCTTCTGTAACTGACAAATCTAAGAGTGGTGCTAAGAAGTGGTTAGGTATCAAGTCTAAATAAATATAATCATTACTTCCTTCTTAGTAAAACACATTTTGTCTTTCTCTCTCTCTTTTTTTTCTTATAAAATGGAAGTAAAAATAAAAATAAAAATAAAAATGTTAGTAGATACCCCCAGACTTAAACAACACTGTCTCCAGTGTTATTTTGTCTAAGAGGAAAGTAAAAATCATGTAACAAATATGTTCATGTTAGTAGGAACAATCGTACCTCAACCCTTACATATTGATCGATACAAGGTGATGTATATCGATCTATAAAGTGTCGTCACCTATTTGTGCTGTCGATCATCGAACTCAACATCTATGGGTTATGTAGTTCTATGTTAGCTCTGTTAGACATTCTCAAAACACACAAATAGTTAGATAATAAAATAGTAGCAGGCATAGTTATAAAACGGAAGGTACGAATAAAAATCCTACAAGTCTGAAAATAAAAGTGAAAACATAGTAGTACGAGATAAAAGGATAGAAATACGGGCGAATGAATCAGCCCTCACTGCCCTCGTCGTCGTCGTCGCCA